CAATTCTTCTACGATCTTCCTTATTCACTGTCCAGCTTTCGCATCCATATGAGGCTATTGAAAACACCAAGGCCTGGGTCAGGCGCATCTTAGTCCTCAAGCTGACATCTCTGCTCTTCAATACTTTAAAAAGTTCCTGTGCAGCAGATTTGCCCAATGCAATACGTCGTCTGATCTCTTGACTACTGCTTCCATGAGTGTTGATAGTTGATCCAAGAAGAATGAAGTCCTTGACAACTTCAATCTTTTCTCCATTGATAAGAATGTTGTTTATTGGTCCAGTGGTGAGGATTTTTGTTTTCTTGACATTGAGATGTAATCCATATTGAAGGCTGTGCTCTTTGATCTTCATAAGTAAATGTTTCAAGTCCTCTTCACTTTCGGTAAACAAGGTTGTATCATCTGCATATCGCAGGTTGTTAATGAGTCTTCCTCCAATCCTGATGCCACGTTTTTCTTCATAGAACCCAGCTTCTTGTATTATTTGCTCAGCATACAGGTTGAATAAGTATGGTGAAAGAATACAACCATGTCTCACACCTTTCCCAATTTTAAAACATTCAGTGTTCCCATGCTCTGTTCGAACAACTGCTTCTTGGTCTAGGTACAGATTTCTCAGAAGGACAATTAAGTGTTCTGGAATACTCATACTTCTCAATGTTGTCCATAGCTTGTCATGATCCACACAATCGAAAGCCTTTGTGTAGTCAATAAAGCACAGGTAAACATCCTTCTGGTATTCTCTGCTTTCAGCCAAGATCCATTGGACATCAGCAATGATATCCCTTGTTCCATGGCCTCTTCTGAATCCAGCTTGAACCTCTGGAAGTTCTCTATCAATGTATGATTAGCCATTTCTTTAGTACTTTAGCAAAACTTTACTCTCTTGAGATATCAAAGAGATTGTCCAATGATTTCCGCATTCTGTTGGGTCACCTCTCTTTGGAATGGGACCCAAATGGAATGGAATGCTATATAATAGAGCAGTTTCAAACAGAGTCCAGAACCCATGTTTTCAAATACTGGCTCTCCCCCTTACTGGCAATGTGATCTTAGACATCCTTAGCCTCTTGGTGCCTCAGTTTTCTCTGTATAAGTGTCAACAGTAGCAGTACCTACCAATTATTCACATGATTAATGCATGATTACGTACGTGATGCTAAAACACAGCCCTGGAGAGGTAACTGAAGACTTTACATTAGCCCTTGACGACCGGGACAAAGTAGTGAAGGTGGTACCTCCATGAAAGAGGGATGCCCTGGTGAACTCAGCAGGCTGGCTGAGAAGGGAGAAAGCCCACCCTGTGCCACTACCATCCTACCAGGGGTTCTGCGGTGTTATGCTCGGTGGAACACTATCTTGGTTCTTCTTTTAGATACATTCTTTTTTAACAATTTTTTTTTGAGGAACAATCTGAAAAGCCATTTTATTATTTTCACACAGAGTTAAGACAACACAAGCAATACAAACTGATGCTTGTCAACTTGAATGGCGGTCAATGGTGTCAAGCAGGGAGGTATTAAAGAAATGAAGTCCTGAGGAATCATCAGCCACATTCTCTGGTGAGAGCTGCCCTGAGCCGATGACACCGTGTCTCATGGCTCCTTTTTTCTCATTCCTTCCCAGCATCTCAAGAAATCCTCATCTCACCAAAGCTGACAGGTCCAAACTCTACCAGATTTCTCCTAGAGACCATCTCTCTAGATGGATGTACAAGATCTCTGTAACCCTACTATCCACAATGACCTTGACATGTTAGGACTGACTTGATACTCTCAATGCTTGGCTTCCACAATGACCCCTCCTTTTCCCTCCTTTATGCACTTCAGGCCCCATGCAGGCCTCTGGGTGTTGCCAAGAAGTTCCCAGGAACCAGTGACCCTAACTCTCACTCTGCACTCGTGGATCCTAACTCCTCTTAGGCAGGAGGCAAGCCATTCTCCCACCAGTGGAACCTCTTTGGTTGCAGTTCCAAGCTCTTCCCCTTCTGAGGCAGGACATGGGCCAGAGGCCTCAGCCATCCAGAGCTGTGGAGCTTGTCCAGACACAGATTCCAGCTAGGGCAGTTCCCTGAGTCTCCTTTCTCAGCGACACTTCCCATCCAAGTCAACCCCCTGGGGCTCCACACATCACTGCCAAGGCCAGCTCTCCTGCCCAACAGTGCAGGGCTCCCAACGTCCAGGTTCTCACCCAGGTTGTACGGGGCAAAGTCATGACTAGTCTCATACCTACCTCCCTCTCTTGGCCCTACAACCGAATCCTCAGCAAGCCCAAGTAAGTACTTTGCCTCCACAACTGTCTGGAAGTCATTCACTGGTAATACTCAGCGGCAGGGCCACCACCCTCTCATCCTCAACAGTGCAGTGATCTCTTCCCTAGTCACTCCGCATCCACCCCCAACAGGCCACGATCCAGCAGCAGTCAGAGGAATCTTCTTAAAAGGTAAATCAAGTCATGGCCTTGCCACACAGCCTCCATCAGAGGCTCCCCAGCACTGAACCCCTCTCCTGGGTGGTGTGCTCTGCCCCCTGCCATCTCTGGGACCTCCTGTCATCTGTCCCCGTCACTCCTTACACTCCAGCCTTCTTTCTCATTCATGAGTCATTCATGCAACTCTTTCTTGTCTCTGGGCCTTTGCACATGCTGTGCCCTCGGCCATGGGCTAGTCTGACATCATTCAGGTCTTAGCTTGAGTCTCCCTTGTCAGAGCACCTTCTCTGTCACTCCTCCTGACATCTGGGCAGCTGCTGTCACTTGCTTGATGTCTCTCTCTGCCCCTGAGGGGAGAGACGATGTCTGTGCTACTCACTGACTCTCCAATGCCTGGAGCAGAGCCTGGTACATAGTAGGTGCTCAATATACAGGTCTCTGGAGAGGTCAATGAAGAAGACCTGTTACCTTACCTGGAACTCCCTCCCCATGCTGGACTGGCAGACTTCCTAGGGCCCTGGTCTGTGTTACTCTATGAAAGTTACTTCTGATTTTGGAATCTCTGTTTTCCTCATCTGTGAAATGGGTAGAAAGAGTGACAGTACCCATTTAGTTCTTGGGGTGTACTGCCCAGCACCCACACTCCTGTCCTCTGGTGGCAGCACCCATGTCTCTTCACATGACCACCCCTAACCATGCCGGACACTGAGGAATAGTGCCAAGGCTCTATGAGATGGATTTGGAAACAGTGCTGACCCTGAGCCAGCCGCCCTGCTAACGGCTTTATATCCTTCAGTCCTGGGGTCAGGATCTACACCAGGCAGCACATTCTTCACTGCCAGGGTCTCTGGGCTGCTGGCCATTCAGCCTGGAACAGCTGCAGGCTAAGACTCAAAGGCACAAAGAAGAATGCTAGACCAAGGGGCGGGAGTGGCTGTTGACCCATCTTTGTCACCCTGATCCAGCTGTGCCTAAAGACCATTCTACCTTTGGACTTCGCACTTACAAAGGCCAGCACGGAGTCCTTCACGCAAAGCCACTTTGAAAGCTACTCTCTTAATCTGTTTTGTATTTGAATAGTCTTTTCTATATTCTTTTAACTTGGCCTTGAGGAGGGTTGATTCAGATAGCCTGCCTGTGTGCTGCCCTGTCCAGACCCTTGCGGCTCTTGCCTCCAGACTCCTCTGTACCCAGAGCCTGCCAGGCCCGATGGAGCGGCCTGCCATCATGGCCCAGAGAGGTGGGTGTGTGGAAGGCCAACTCCCCAGCCCCTGGTAGGGAGCAGTGGTAAACACAGAGGCTTGGGCTCCAGCCTGCCTCCCAGAGCTTCCCCAACGAGGTGGAGCTCTACTTGCCAAGTGGAACTTGCTTGATAACTAGCTCAGTCTGACTTCTTCCTTTCCCTGTCTCACTTGGGATCACCTACCTCCCAAGTAAACTACTTATCCTCAAATCCTTCTCTCAGAGTCTGCTTCTAGGGTGACCCAAACCAGGACAGCATTACCTGTTGTTTTTGTTAAGTGCTGTCTAATTGGTTCTAACTCATAGTGACTCTGTATAGGGTTATGGAGGAACAGCTGATAGGTTTGAACTGCCGACCTTGCAGTTCGCAGTCCAGTGCTTATCCTACAGAGCCATACCAAGAGTCAGATTTACATAGCACAGAGTAAATGCTCCAGAAACAATCATTATTACTATCATTACTGCCGGCTAGGTCTCCCCGCTCTTCCTCCCTCCAGAGCTGTAAGCCTCAGAACTCAGTGTGGAGTGAGATGATGCCCTGCTCTGCGGTGGGAAGGCAGGTCCCTAGGCCATGCCAGGAAGAAACAGTCCTTCCAGCTCCGTAGGAAGTAAGAATGGGGTGCCCAGCAACAGGTCAGGGATCCATGGCTTGGACCAGCTTTCGTCATTTACAAGACCGGCTGGGACAGGGATGGGTTTTACCCAAGGCAAACTCTTGGGACAACACTGGAATGCCTTGAGCTCTTTGAAGGTCCTTGGACCACAGATGACCCCCACAGCCATCCCAGCCACTGTGTCAATCCCAGGCATCAGGATGAGACAGCAGCCCTACATGTGTGCAATGTCCTGGTCAAGGGCCCAACAGTGGAGTCACTCTGCCAGGGTTGAGTCCTGCATCTCACACTTTCCAGCTGAGAGAACTGCCTGTGCTGTGCCTCAGTTCCTCATCTGTGAAATGGACACAATCGCAGAGGTACCCTTAAAGGCTAGTTCTAAGGCTGATATGAGACAATGTAACTAGAAGCTTACAATGGTGGCTGGCTCAATACACATATCTTCTCATACCACTAGACGAGAGGGACATGGACTAGTCACCACAAACTCTTTTGTACTTTTAGAATTTTGTACTATTTGTATGTATCATTGCCCAGAAAATTAAGCATATTAATTTTAAAGTGAAAATAAAAGTAAAAGCAATTTCCAATTTACAACCACATATTTGTTGTAGAGCATGGAAGTGGGTAGGATACTTGTAAGTCATGAGGACTCCATCACAGTCCCCACTGAAGTGACCCCATCCAGCTCTGCTCAGAGCATCCAGAACTTACTGGAGTGGGTCCTCTCATGGTCTGGAAGTGTGGCGGGGGGCTGGTGATTCAGGGCTGCCTCTGATTTGCTGGGAATGAAGACTTCAGCATTGTCCTTCCGTTTAGCAGACAAGTGTCTTTCCCTTTTACTACCTGTAAGAAAACAGTGTTTGCATATAAAGACACTGAATGCAATCCAGAGCTGGGACATTTTGCTCAGATATTTATTTGTTCATTTAACAAATATTTAATGCCCTTTCCCCCCCCCCCACACACACACACTCAGTGCCAAGCGACATACTAGTTATGGTGCAGTGAATCAGTTAATGTCTCTCTTCTAACCACTGTTGTTGCTGGAGGTGGTTAAGTGCCGCTGAGCCGGTTCTGACTCATAGCAACCCTGTACAGGGTTTCCAAGGTGCGGCTGGTGAGTTTGAACTACTGACCTTGTGGTTCAAACTGGCCTTGCAGTCCAGTAGTCATTGTAAATCCCACCAAATGATTTTTTCCTGATGGGAAGAGGTGGGGGAAGGAAGATACTGATAAGATGATGTGATTTAGTTGTGAGTGACTGCTAACAGGAATAATTGTGATTGTGAAAACTTAGAACTCTACCATGAGTATACAATGAACTCTCCCAGAAGCATCAAGGGATCTCACTACTAACAACAGAGAAGAGCCAGGAATGGAGCACATCCTTTGAGCCCTGAGACCTCTGTGCACGGAACTTCCTTGACCTAGGAACAAAAGAGCTGTGATAACAGAGGAGTGGGGGAGGAGCAGCAACTGCAGAACCAGGAAGCAGAGCACAGCACAGAAAAGGGAGCTGTCCAGCCCACAGAGCCAGGAAGCGGAGTGCTTTGGGGCATGAGGCTGACTTGTGGAATGGGGCGTCTGTAGGCACTTAGTTGGGGAGCTAGAGCTGAGTGCCTTTGGGTGAAGGCTTATAACAGACTGAAGAGCCCCTCTGGCATTGATCAGCAGTGCTACAGCAACCAGAGCTTTGTAACACTGCTGGAGCAGGGCCAAGGGGCTTGTGGTTGAGAGGGCAGGAACCACGGAGAAGCCTGTGGCTGGGAGAGGCTGTCCTGACTGTGCCCCAAACATTTCTAATCCTGCATTGTAACCTGATAACTTTCCTAATACAGCCCGTAGCTATGAGGATGGTGTCTGAGTTCTGTGTGGCTGTTAAAATGAATTATTGAGTCCAGTTGGGTAGAGAGTTCTGTGGGAGGGATGACTAACATCAGAATCAGCAAAGAAGGCTCGAGAATGGAGGCATGTCTGACCTCAGCCATATAGAAAGAGGGATGGTGGCTGAATTTGATTCTCCTTGTGAAGTCAGAGGAAGCAAGACATTGTCCCTGCGTCAAATTATTTTTATGTGCTAGTTTGGCCAACAAACCACGTTTGCTGAAAGTCCCTGCATGCAAAACAGCATACTTTTTAGAAAATAAATGAATGCACAAATTTTCTAATGCTAACATTTTGAAATAGTTTGGAAAAGTCTTAAATTGACAGCCTTTGAAGTGTAATTGACAGTATTTCTTCTTCCTTCATGATGCATAGAATAACTGCCACACAATCAACTTGTCCAGTGGACCAATGGGACATGTGAGCATCTGTCACGATGATGTTGAAGCCAGAAGTACTAGATGGTGCCTGGCTGCCACTACCAACTGTTCTGAAAGGGATCACGGTAGAAGGTTCCAGATAGAGTGGGAGAAAATGGGAAACAAAACTCAAAATTATAAAAAGAAAAAGAGCAGGCTTACTAGTCAGAGAGAGGCTGGAGGAACCCAATAGGATGGCCCCTGAGCACCCTTCAGGTCTGGAATGGAACTCACCCTCGTGGTCCAATTTTCAGTCAAGCAGTAGATAGGTATCTACACTAACACTAGTAAGATATGCCACCATGGAATGGTCACCCATTCAAGATCAAAAGGATAAAGTTGAGAAGGGATGGGAAGGAGGGTGGATTGGAAATAGGAGCCACAAGAAAGGAGAGATACCTGTTGTTACATGAAGGGGATTGAAATCATTGAGACGAAACAAAGAAATGATTTGTTGAATGTAAAACAATCTTCACTGTAAAATTTCACTCAATTCACAAAGAAAAGTTTTTAAAAAACAAACTGTGCAGCCAAGGACCTCTGAGAATCAGGGTACCTGTGCTTGGGTCCTCCTGGGATGGAAAGGAAGAAACCCAGGAAGTGTTTGCCTAAAGGGCAGTGTACAGTGAACCCCAGCCAAGAATCGCATTGAAGCTTGTGGTGTCTCAAAGACGGGGAGTCCTGCAACCAGGACTACGAGGCACTCTTGGGAGCAAAGCCAATGTCTGGGATGTGTGTGCTGTCTGTCCCTCTCTGCCACCCCTCTTGGTTTGTGAAGGACGTACGATTCTCCATCACTTTCTGAAGTACTTGCTCCCTGGCTAGCCAGATTATGATATGAGAGAGCAATGTGTGTGTTCAATGGGACAAGACAAAGAAGGGAGGAAGAAGCTTGACTCCCAAGGTGCTGAAAATGATCCCGAGGACAGTAAGAGCAACAGCCAGCCAGTGATGTGTCCTGGGCACCTTTTCATTTGTGCCCTAGCTTGTCCTAGGAGGCAGGTACACAACCTGAGGCAGGAGACCAAACACTGGCACCCCAATGATGTCATGTCCTAGACTGAGAAGCAAGTGAATATGCTAGGTTACAAGGCAAAGGGGAATTCACCTTGCTAATCAGCTGAGTTTAAGATGATCTGAATGGGCCCAATGTAATCATGCAAAACCCAGAGCAAAGCCACAGCCAGAAAATTCACTCTAAGTCACAGCAACCTTACAAGACACAGGAGTCTTTGTGTGGTGATATAGCATAAACTAATCACAAGGTCGGAGGTTCAAACCCACCAGCCACTCCTCATCATTATACAGAGTAGCTATGAGTCAGAACAGACTCGAGGGCACTTAACCACAACAGAACAGAGTAGAACTGCCCTATAAGGTTTCCAGGCTATAAGTCTTTACAGAAGCACATTACCACGTTTCCTCTGTGGAGTGGCTGAAGCGCCTTAACCACTACATCACTGTTGTTGTTGTTGTTGTTAAGTGCCAAAGAGTCTATTCCGACTCATAATGACCCATAGCAACCCTATAGGGTTTCCAAGGAGTGCTGGTGAGTTTGAACTGCAACCTTGTGGTTCAAACCGACCTTGCGGTCCAGTGCTTATCCTACAGTGTCACAGGACTCCAGCCCTACATCACTAGGGCTCCTCAAATGAACCACAAAGACCCTCAAAATTGGAAGAGAGAGATGGAAGAAGGATACAGAGAATGCACCAATGAACAGTGATTACAGAGACAGGACACTGCAGGCCCTGAGGGTGGAGGACAGGGCCAAGAGCCAGGGAATGTGGGCAGCCTAGAGAAGCTGGAACAGGCAAGGTAGTGGGCGCTTCCCGAGACTCCTCCAAAGGAACGGAGCTCTGGCAACACCTTGATTTTAGCCCATGAGCCCCACATCCGTGAGCCCAGGACTGTGAGATACAAAGTTCACTGTGTTGCCGTTTGTTACAGCAGCAATAGAAAGTCAGTACATCTTATTACAGGGGAGGGTTCTGGGTTCAAGTCACAGAGCTAGGAAGTGAAGAGACCTGCCTCAACCCACCTCCATTTCCTGTCCAAATTCCCTATCCTCCCCATGAATCAGCCCTTCAGGAAGTTTGGCGAGGAGGTCGGCCTTGTTGAACGGGTGTATGTTTTGTTGTGTATATTCACAACAATAACAAAATACGATTTTTAATCGTCAATAACAGTATTTTCTAGGTATAGCAGGACTCAGGCTCTTGGTGGAGCCCTAGATCACTGGGTCTTCATGGAAAGTGGCCTGGGGTCACCGCTAACCCCATATTCCACCAGACAGCCCTGTGCTTGCAGTTCCCTCTGCCTGGAATGTGGTTCCCACAGCTGGTCCTCTTGTCCCAGCTCCAATGTTGTCTCCTCTGAGAAGGCTTCTCTGACCACTCAGGTTCAAGTGGGCCCAGCACCGGTCCTCACACTGCAGGGTTCTGTTTCATATAATCTTTATAGACAATCTCTCCTCCTGTCCTCCTAACTTCTTGATTTGCCCAGAATCCCAGTCCTCCTCTTCCCAGTTACTGGAAAAATGGCTTCTCCATGCCCCTGGTTCACAAGGACACCCCAGACTGGAGAGAGTGGGGGATAGGAAGCAACCAGGACACAGACCTGGCCACCATGCTGTCAGCACTGGGTCCAGCTCCGCTAACATCCTCTGCAGAGAGGCAGTGCTGGATCCACCACACACCCCTCTCTCATTTATTCCACAACCCAGGAGAGGGGGTGGCTGCTTTCTGACTCCTCAAAGCCCAGCTACTGTCTTTTACCTTTGTTTGGTTTGGTGGTTAAGGGTCCTGGGATCTCAGTCTCAATTCCTTCCTAACTGTGTGAACTTGGACAAGTTACTCAATCTTAGTCCCTCGTTTCCCCATTAGTAAATTAAAGGCAATGATAACATGTCCTTTGGCATAACGGTGAAGATTAAATGGTCCCTCGGTGTTATGGTGAAGATTAAATGAAGGACTATGTGTAAAGACCTTAGAACACTGCTCGGTATATGTCAATACAAATTCACTAAATGCTGGCTGTTGTTCACAACTACTCATTTACATGCTTCTTGTCTGTTTTCCCTGATAGGAATGTGAGGCCACTGGGGAGAAGCGGACGTGTGTACTAGCACAGAGACTGGGACATGATGTGTGAGCAGACGGATGAACGTCCATCTTTTCAGGGCCTGCTGAATGCCCTTGAGTAAATTTTTACTGTGAGTTCTGAACTGCAATCCCACGCCAGGTGTGGGGAGACCTTATAGCAGGCCCCTTGGTGGGAGCCCACCACCTGCTGCAGAGACATGCACCCACATACCACTGTGCCTCTGAGTGCTCACAGGAGGCCCAGCAGCAAACTAATGGCTTAACAATGTAAAATGTCAGAAAACTGAATCAGTCTCAAAGTGCGTCTGGTGTCAAATGACTCTCCTGTCATCTTCTGGTTCTTCAGACCTGCTGTTCCCAGGGCAGAGGCTCAGTCAGCCTCCTCACTCCCTGACACCCAGTCCTTAGGGAAAACAGAAATCACGGAAGCATTTCATTCCCAGTATATCTCATACAGAAAAGACGTCTACTGGCAGCTAGAATGGTGGTAATTCTGTCACCTAAGGATGGCACAGGCCCAAGGAAGGAGGACACGAAAGGGAGAGAGGCCCATCAGGAAACTTTTTTCCTTCCTAAGTGTCCCAGGTCTTGTACCCCGACTGGGTCATGCACTATCACTGTGACTCTGCCTGGCCAGGCCAATGGCCAAACTACATGGACCTTTGCAAAGACAGTTTCCAGAAGAGGAAAGGATGCTGGGCAGGCAGGCTGAAGGCCTGTAGACAGACTTTGGTCTACATCTCCCCAAAGATGTGCACGTCCTGATCCCTAAAGCCTGTGAATATGTGATGTCAGCTGGGTCTGAAATCAGAGCTAAGGCCCTGGGCTCTTTAGTTTTATGAGCCAATAAGTAGGCCCTTTGGGCTATGCCACTGTGCTTCCGCCTCTTATAATCAGCAGAGACCTGACCAATATACCTCCCTGGTCTCTGAGACCACTCTACCCAGAGCTGAGTCCACAGGACTGCTGGACTGCTATTCAATCCAGAGACACCAAAACAAAACCACTATCACACAAGATGGGACTCACTTGTGGAAGCTGTGTTAAATGCCAGTGTCACCAGGGTGTCTGGGCCCTGGGGAGGGCGTCCTTCCGTCTCCTGGTCCTCAGGGAAGTCCCTCTGTACTGAGTCCCCACTTGAAAGAAGGGGATCATCTCTGGAGGTGTTCACCAGCACCTGACCCTCAGGTTCAGGCTCAGAGAACACATCTTCTTCAATGGAGTCATACTCATCACTGGAACAATCCTTTTGTTGTTTTTGTAGATTTACAGTAAGCTCCAAGCTTTTTCTCAGCTCCTGCCAAAAGCCAAGCAGAGATTTGAAAAATAAAACAGGGTATTTTTAGAAAAACCCACTTGAAAACAGATCATTAGAATTAAAGAACTATTCCCACACCAAACTAACATTTACTGATGTCACATCAAAAAATATAACATTTCCCAATACCATGTCAAGCCATGTAACTAATATTTCCCAGTATCATCTCAGCTCATGTAACTAACATTTCCCAATACCATGTCAAGCCATGTAACTAACATTTCCCAATATCATCTCAGCTCAAGTAACTAACATTTCCCAATATCATCTCAGCTCATGTAACTAACATTTATTAATACCATGTCAAGCCATGTAACTAACATTTCCCAATATCATCTCAGCTCATGTAACTAACATTTACCAATACCATGTCAACTCATGTAACTAACATTTATCATTATCATCTCAGTCCAAGTGACTAATATTTACCAATATCACGTCAACCCATGTAACTAACATTTATCAATATCATGTTAACTCATGTAACTAACATTTTTCATTATCATCTCAGTCTATGTGACTAACATCAATATCACATCAACCCATGTAATTAACATTTACCAGTATCATCTCAGCCCAAGTAACTAACATTTACCAATATCATGTCAACCCATGTAACTGTCATCTCAGCCCATCTAACATTTACCAAGATCATGCCAGCCCATGTGCTTTCATTGCTTTTAAGCTGGGTAAGCAAAGGTCAGGGACAAATGAGCATCTCTCTGGTATTCCTATACCTATGAGGTCACTAAGAGAGAGAAAGAGAAAGAGAGAGAGAGAGAGTGTGTGTGTAAAAATGATATGGTCCTGGGGCTTTTTAAAAGAAGTCGTGGCCCCACCCCTGGAGTTTCTGACTTAGTAGATCTTAGATGAGGCCTAATAATTTGCATTTTTGACAAGGTAATGTTGCTGGTCCAGGGACCACACACTTTGAATATGAATGAAATCCCCAAGGTTTGCAAATGACCATGAGATCCCAGATAGCACAGAATCCAAAGGACAGTGTGTGCAGGAAGTCTTGTGCATTGTAGGGTTGCTGTTGTTAAGTGCTGTTGAATCAGTTCCAACTCATAGCAACCCTGGACAGGGTTTCCAAGGAGTGGCTGGTGGGTTTGAACCACCAACCTTATCGTAAAGAATCCAGTGCGTGTCCTACAGCATCACACCAGAACTTCAGGGTGTTTGTTGTTGGTGGTGTTAAGTGCCCTCAAGCTGATTCTGATCCACAGTGACCCTGGATAGGGTTTCCAAGGAGCAGCTAGTGAGCTTGAACCGCCGACCTTGCAGTTCAAATGACTTTGCAGTCTGGAGCATTGGTGGTGGTGGTGGTGGTGTGCCGTGGAGTCAGTTCTGACTCACAGAGACCCTGTACAGGGTTTCCGAGCCTGTAAATCTTTATGGGAGCAGAAAGCCTCATCTTTTTCCAGCGGAACAGCTGGTAGTTTTGAACTGTTGACCCTGAGGTTAGCAGCCCGATTTATAACCACTATGCTACTAGAGCTTCTTTGTCTTCCTTATTTGTTGTTGTTGTTAGGTACCATAGAGTCGGTACTGACTCATAGTGACATTATGTACAACAGAACGAAACACTGCCCGGTCCTGGGCCAACCTCACTACTGTTGCCACGCTTGAGTCCATCGATGCTGCCACTTGGCCAATCCATCTCGTTGGGGGTCTTCCTCTATTTCTCTGACCCTCCACCTTACCAAACATGATATCCTCCTCCAGCGACTGTTCTCTCATGACAATATGCCTGAAATACGAGAGGCGAAGTTTGGCCATCTTGGCCTCCAAGGAGCACTCTGGCTGCACTTCTTCCAAAACGGATCTATTGGTTCTTTTGGCAACCCATGGCACTTTCAATATTCTCCTCCAACACCGTAACTCAAAAGCATCAATTCTTCTACTGTCTTCCTTATTCACTGTCCAGCTTTCACATGCATAGTCTGGCGCATTAGCAGCATCTAAATGTCACTTACTTACACGTAACTAGAACTGCCTGATAGCGTTTTCGTGTTTTCTCATTTGTCTCCATGAGATTGTAGATTCTTTTAGGCCAAGCATTAAGACCTCTACGTAGAGTGATCAGAAAGTCTATCACCCTAACTAGTACACTTCAGAAAGTGAAACAAGACACTAGCACATATACCGTGAGACAGAAATACAACTGTGTGGGCAAACTGGGAGGCTGGGCCAACCTATCTGTGCCACCTCTACAACCCCGGCACTGCTAACACAGTGTGAATGTAGTTCTGGGGAAATGAGAAACAATCAGTGAAGGTTTGATGGTTGACTGACAGATGCCGTGGAACACTCCCCAAAGGTGTTCATGTCCTGAAGAGGAGTGGAGTGCTCTTTGGACAGAGAGATCCCTGTGCACCGAATCTTCTCAACTCAGACACAGAAAGCTGTGACACCCAGGCAGTGGCAGAGGAGCAGCAGTAGAACCAAGAGCCAGCCCACAGAGCAATCAAAGCTAAGGGACTTTGAGCAGGAGGCTTGCTGACCGAGTGGGGTGCCCCAGACACTTACTTGGGGAGCTAGGTTTGCTGACCCACAGAGCTGAAGCTGAGTGCCTTCAGTCTGAAGTTTACAGTGGAGCAGTGTCCCCTGGGGGCACTTACCAGCAAACCTAAAAGAGTTTGGTAACAGGGCACAGTGTAGTGGCCAGGCCAAGGGGCTGAGAGGCTATCCTGACTTGAGGAATATTTCTGATTGTTACCTGATAACTTTTGCTGTTGTTAAGTGCCTCTGAATAATTTCTAACTTACAGCAACCCTGTATAGGGTTTCTGAGGAGCAGCTGATGAGTTTGAACTGTCAACCTTGGGGTTAGCAGTCCAGTGATTATCCTACAGTGCCACACCAGGACTCCTTAACTTCCCTAATCAACCCTTTACTTGTGAGCATGGTATCAGAGCTCTGTGTGGTCGCTGCAATGAATGGTGGAACCCAGCTGAGTAGCGAGTACTGTGGAAAGGGTGGTTTGTACCATTTTTTTGCAGAGTGAGTGTATTTTGCATGTGGAAGGGACACAAATCTTTGGGGACCAGAGGGTGGATTGTGGTAAGTAAAATAACAGCCCTCTAGAGGTATCCAAGCTCACCAGCTGCTCCTTGGAAACCCTATACATTGTCGCTATGGGTCAGAACCAACTCAACGGCACTTAACAACAACAACAACAGGTGTCCAGGGAGTCCTGATGTGGTGCCATAGGCCAGTTTGAATTACAAGGTTGGAGGTTCAAACTCACCAGCTGCTCCTCAGAAACACTGAGTTGCTATGACTCAGAATTAACTTGACGCCACTTAACAACAACAACAAGAGCTGCCCGAGTGTGGGGCACTGGACCTAAAGGTCAGCAATCCAAGCCCACCAGCTGCTCCTCAGAAACCCTATACAGGGTTGCTATGAATCAGAACTGATTTGACTGCACTGCACACAACAAAGGGATGCCCACATCCTAATCCCTGGGATCTAGGGCTATGTTACCTTACATGGCAAGAGGAGCTTTGCAGGTGTGATTAAGTTAAGAATTGTGAGACGGGGAGATTATCTGGGATTATTCAGGTATGTTCAGTGTAATCACATCTGCTTATAAGTCTCCCCAGAGGCAGGCAGGAGGATCAGTCAGAAAGAGAGATGTAAAGATGGAGTCCTGGTGTGGCTCTGTAGGATCAGCACTGGACTGTTACCCACAAGGTCGGCAGTTCAAATCCACCAGTTGCTCCTCAGAAATCCTATACCGGGTTGCTCTGAGTTGTAACTGACTTGGCGGCACTTAACAGCAACAACAACAAAACTGGAAGCAGAAATGAGAGAGGAGGAAAGATGCCATCAGGTATCCAAGGAGGAAAGATGCTGCTAGCATCATTAAGCTGCCACCAGCCAAAGAATGTACGTAGTCCCTAGAAGCTTAGAAATGTAAATAAATACATTCTCCTCTAGAGCCTCCAGGAGGAATGCAGGCCAACCAAAACCTCCATTTTAACTTGTGAAACAGACCACAGTTTCTGACCTCTAGAACTATAAGATGATACATTTGTGCTGTGCTAAGGTTAAATTTGTAAGAATTTGTTACAGTAGCAGGAGGAAACTAACACAAAGCTGAGTATTAGCTATTAAGTAACTAGAACACTGCTTGGCCCATAGTAGGTGCTTGATAAACATTAGCTGAGAGACTAAATCCCATCAGTTACCAGAAGGTGGGTGGTAGAAGGAGCAAGGAGCACCCACACGCCTTAGAGACAAAGACTTAAAGTCCTGCTTCCCTGTTTACTAGCAATGTGGCCCTCAGCAAGTCATGTATCCACTCTAAGCTGCATTCTGGCATCCATAAAATGGGTTAACAAAATCTCTGCCTTCTACATTTGTCTTATTAAAGCAATGGCTCTCAACTGGAGAGGCTGAAAAATCCTGTATTAAAAGGGTGCAGTCATTATCAAAGCATAACTACAAGGGAGTTGCAAAAAGTTAAGTGAAAAAAAATTCAGTATCTTTTAATTCCATTTTTCCATGAATTTTCTGAAGCCACCTCATACAAGATTTTCTGAATGTACTGAGAGGGCCCATGTCATCTTCATGGAAGCTGGGCTGAGGTCAATGTGTCTTGTGTTCAAAGTCTTACTGTAGTGAACCATCTAATTTACTGTTCCAAAACAAAGAAACGGGAGTTCCTGGGTGGTGTGCTGTTTCAAAGCAAGGTCAGGCATTGCAAAGGTAGCAACCCTCTGTTGTTGCTGTTCAGTTCCTGTCCAGTTATTTCTCACTAACAGCAACCTGGTATAGGGTTTCCAAAGAGTGGCTGGTGGGTTTGGACCACTGACCATGTGGTTAGCAGTCCAGTGTTTATCCTACAGCACCACCAGTAATCCTTTACAGTGGAATCTGTACTTTACAAACTATTTTGAATTCCTTCTCAGTTGACCCCCACAATAACCCTGTGGTTATTGTTGTTAAGTGCTGTCAAGTTGGTTTCGA